CCCCAAAACCCCAAAACCCCAAAACCCCAAAACCCCAAAACCCCTTAGAAATAACATCTGATTGAACCCTTAATAAGGCTTAAACATTCCTAAATGTTTAGCGATATATGCCTCTTGGGCAGGTAACTGGAGCTTGGCGAATGGGTTCCCAGTATTTATCTGGTTCGATGCTTGTAATAGCCTTTTCCTCTTTGAACCTTCATTTTCCATGTATCTTCCAACTGTAGCTGGTCTAAATGGTAGTCAACATGAAGATTACACTGGCTCATTTATTGGATAGGAGATAGAACTTGGAGGATGATGAGGAGCCTTCTGACTAATAGATTTAGGAACTTTCAATCTTTCATCTCTTGACCCCATATTTGACCTCATATGATTTGCTCCTTCTTTTATATCATAAGCTTCTTTAGAATTTTGCTTATGAAATCCCTTTTCTCTAGTTTTTAAATCTCCAGGATTTTGATATGGATTTTTATGAGTTAATTCATTCTGAACCTGAGGAGTCCTACTAGCATTTCCGAGGCGATGCTCTAAACTTTACATCAATTAGATACTTTGGCTGTTGGAATTTCTCATCCCTGATAAATTCCTCTGCTGGTTTGCATAATTACTAGTTAGCTTTTTCTAAAAATTACTCAACTTGATACTATTTTAGACCTGAGATCTCTTCTCTTAAAGACATCCTCATCAAACATTTCTTTCTTGTAATAATTATCTATTGCCATATCTCGCTCGATAAACTTTGTGATTTGCTTATCATACTCAGAATCTCTAACAAATGCCCCATTCTGGTTAATAGGATAAGCCTGAGACCTTTGCTCTGCAACTGCCATAGTTTCATCGTACTCATAAGTATCGAGCAGATCTTGGGGCTTTACCTGCTTACGAGCTCTCTGCTTGTCAAGTTCAATTTTGTAACTCTGAACCATCTGCTTCCTGATCTTCCTCCTGGTATCTCAATTAAGTAAGGGCTCTAGCATTGATCTTTTACCCTGATTCTTGTCTAATGTTTGCTTTCCTATTGAGGTTAGTCATAGCATTACTGTATCCAACTGGAGCGTCATTATACCTTGTTAATGAATTATCAACACTTCTTTTCAGGTATGATCCACTAACTTGGGGATCTTTCATAAATTTTGCTCCCTTATTAGTTGAACTCATTGATTTTCTCAGATACCTCATCCCTGGCTCGTTCCATTCGTGAGGCAAGCAGTCAATAGTTTTGTTATTATAAGCACATATTCCCTAAAATTTGAATGAAAAAGTACATCATATTCCATGGGATTTCCAAACTTTTGAAACTTCGAGTCGATATCTAACCCTTTTGTCATAGAATTGCCCAAGCTTGCTGTGAAGATATCCTCTCTTATCTCCTTTGCTCGTTTCTCTACTTCTCTGCTTTTCTTTAGCTCAACTTGCTTATCGAGCATCTATAGAGGGAATCAGCAAACTTCTAAGATTAAAGTATATCTCAAAGCGAGCTTTTCTCATAATATTAAAAGTTGTGAAATAAGCACTGGACAGCACTGCCTTACCTGTTTATAGAACTTTTGAAGGTTGATCTTCCTCTTATTTTCATGGTGTTGGTCTAGTTTAGACAAGCTCAACTTCTTCTTGTCTCCAAAGACTTCCCCTATCTGCGCTTTGTAGTCTTCTTGATGTTTCTTGAGTGAGTTCATCCAGCCTGCTTTGTGGCTGCTTCCCACAAACCTTCTTGGCCCTATTGTTTTCATTTCATTGTTACCTTTTTGTAAAGATTTTTGCATGTCCACTATTGGAGAGGAATACTTCTCATCTGTATTGTTCAATTTCTGATTCTAGACACAAATAAAGATAAGATTTTATATTATTAAGAACTCTTCAGAATATGAGAGCATAGACTATGTCCTGGGGTTAGGACACCTTTAGGGTTGAAAAGGCTTCATTTCCACTTACAATAACTTTCTGACTTGGACCCTGCTGGTTAATTTTATTTTCCATGCTATATAGTTTATTTTTACTTCATAAAATTAATAACGGGGTTTTGGGGTTTTGGGGTTTTGGGGTTTTGGGG